GAATCGCTTGTAGGACATCGACGATTACTGATTGTGTACAGGAACAGGTTGCTTTGCGACGTAATTTCGTTTTTTCAGTGTTCTTTAAAAGATGATTGTTTAAATGCCATTATTCCGCATAACGCAAAAATAACATGCTCGCACGGCCTTAGTTTAGTTTAGTTTCGCGATTTTCGGCTCTCATGGTACACAACATGCAGGAAGTTTAAAACTAACAAAAAAGTAAAGCGACCTTTGCGTTTTTTATCTAGTGCCTATTGACATTATGATCCCTTCGTTTTCAAACAAACAGGCCGAGCGTATGACAGCAGTTGCAATGCCTATCATTGCTTCACTTACGAAAGACCTTTCCCTACAGACCCGGCTCTTTATGGATGTGATGCTACCAGAAGTATTGTATTTGAAATTGTTTCTAGAACGGCACGGCTTATGGTTTAGTATCTGAAGACTTATCATATTTTAATCTTTCAATTATATACCGCGACTTTTCCAGCTTAAAAAAGGGAGTTTTTGATGACAAGCCTTATCCGTGACGGTCACCTCCAAACTTGCCTAGTGTTTTACATGTAACTTTTTGGGTTGACAGATTTCCAGTATGCTATATTTCCAGAGGGTGTACACTGCAAACCGTTTTTTTTCTTTTTAGGAAGTTATTTTAAACCACAACTGTCTAAAAAGTTCATGCTTTTTCTTCTTATCTTTCAGAGCATAATCAAGTTCATCATGGAAAAAGAGGATCTCAATTATTTTAGAGCTTCAATTTTCTTTCAAAATAGTCTTGTTTCGGCAGCAACTTCATAGATAGTTTTAGGCTCACTTTGCCAAACATAATTGTCGGTTTTATTACATCATCATGACAAACCACATATCAAATTGTGGTCAGCAATACATTGGCGAAAGTTTTGATCCAGGTGCTTCAGGAAATTGAATCCAGTCCGCTCTTAACTTCGCGTATTTTATCGTGTACTTTCTTATGTTTGATACAAATAGTGCGGTGGTTTAGTTATATATTGAAAACCCTTAATAACAGGAATAAATTTCAAGAAAATAATACAGTTGTTGGTGGTTATACGTCTTAGGTTATTTAAAATGAAATAATTATTAGGTGCTACACCAGGTCACTTCTCTAAACCAACGAGAAAAATTCCTCATCTTCACACTTCCGATACGATGTACCTTTTCTATGCAGCCTTGTTTCCTTAATGCGGTAAATCTATCCATCATAAGCATTTGTACCAAAACAGGAAGGGTATTTAAACGAAACCGCAACACAAAAAAGGCCCAACTCATTTGATAAGTATGTTTAAATTACTCGGAATAAACCGGAATAATGACGTTACGCGGACAAAACAATCGAAACTTTGTCCGACTTAAGAAAATCATTTACATTGCAATGAACAGCCTTGTAGTCAGTCAAGTGTTACTAATCATGATCAAGATAAGAAAGGGAAACAAAAGGCAAGAAACTATTTTCTATCATTTAGTCTTGTTAATATATATATTTAGGCAAGCCTAAAAGCGGAGCTCCACGGTTATGTGTTGTTTACTGCTCTTAAGAATATATTTTTTTCCATTCTGGTAAATAAGCGGCTGAAATATTAAAAGTACAGTTTATAGTGGATCATCGGTGTTGAATTAAAGTCGCCTACGGTTAAACTAAATACTTTCATGACAAAGCAAAATCTGCCCATGGCACCTCAAATGATCTTGAGACGCAATCAGTTAAATGAACTCAAGATGTTCAAAATTAGCTCACGGCAACAACAAAAGACAAAACACGTAAAAATCAAAACAAAACAGAGAGTAGAAACCAGTTTTGAAACTATAAGAAATCAAATCATTTCTACGCAGCGCGAGAAAATGCCGAAATGTGAAAATAAACAGAAACAAGAGATCAATTACTTTATGAGATGAAGCCTCAAATTCCCAACTAACAGTCGCCGAATGAAACAAACTTGAAAGAAACTTCAAAACGATTAATTTTCATTCAAGATGCAGACAAGAAAGAAATTGAAAAGGGCGGGAATGTTCGAAATAAAATAAGACAGGCCGTTTTGCATTGGACAGCCTGTTCAAATTAATTTAAATCCACACTGTATTACCACGCTAAAATAAATAACGGTCAATTTTCATTCAAGATAAAGCTTGAAATGTATCGACAAACTAGAGACAATTCGTTACACAGCGGCCGCCGATCTGTTCAAATTAGTCGAATTAATTAAGGCGAAAGATCTGATTTTCAACCGACGGCTTCAGCAGGCACTTGACGCTAAAACTAGCTAAAACTGTAAAACCACTAAAAACTGTTTTACTTTAACCACCGCGTTCTTTTCTACCATTTATTCCGGTTTCTAAAACTGTATAACCACTGAAAACTGTTACATTGCTACACCTTGGGACTCGAGCTGCTTACGCCGTAGCGAATTTCGATACCAAATGAATATTTTACAATGAGTCATGAAGTTCTTTTCGTTCATGTATGACAAGGATCCTTTAAGAGACTTCAAGCATGAATTGGCTTGTTCTGCTGCCTGACTGTTTAAGGTGTCCCACTGAGGATAACGGGAGAGGTTGTAAGCATCAGAGCAACCTGAAAAAGGAAAAAAAAACAGGTTCGATTGCTTTGCATTGGTACTGACAAAGTTAAGATTAAAACATTACTTCGAATGTGCTTCAATAAATGTGCGTAATGTGCCATTAGATTAGTAGGAGGGGATAGACCCGAGAGCATAGTTAAATGAACACCGAAGATGAAAGACGGCCAAACCAAAAAAGCCAGTTTTGGGGTGATTTACGTACCTGTATGATTCCGCCAACGCAATCGATCCACAAGGAACTGAGAGTTCTTGAAAAAGACAGGATCCCGATTTAACAACACGAACGCAAATTGTAAGCGTTGTTGTAGACAATCTGGCAGGGATCTGTCAAAAAAAAGGCAGAAAAATTGTAATGAACCTACATTTATTATGACTCGTTTAATATAAAATCACTCTGATAGAGGAAATCAAGAGAAGAAAAACTCCCAAAAAACCAGGCCCCGGTTGTCCAACGGGTGGATAACGCTATCCACAGAATTAATCATTACTCACCTTTAAGTGTTGTGATAACATACAACGCTATCCACTGGATAGTGATTTTTCCGGTGAATAGCGTTATGCATCCTTCAAACCGGGCCCAGGTAATAAAAAGAAATTTTCTTCACACACAACGGCATCCAATCAAAGGCCACAACATACACATGCACATTAAATCGAGCTTACCTCCTGAGAAACGCATTCAAAACACTGTAAATGGGATGTTGGGAGATTCATTGCAAAGCATTACACTAAATCCATAAGTTGTACCTAAAATGGAAATCAAAAGAGAAGATATAAAACCGTTTTAAACATAATCACAGCAACACTGGGTACACTGAGTGCATGAAAGCATGTTGTGTAAGAACATGTAATGAAGGCTGAAGAGAGGGTGTAACTGGGGTACATCACTAGACAATAGAAATCAACAACCTTTATTTATACAGGTCGTTATGCCATTTAGCCAATAAATTGTAAGAAAAACTTCGATTTAGTCAGTAAACAGCAAAAAACAAAACAAAACAGTTAAGTTAGTTAATTTGTGCGATTCTTTGACTTGACAGCTGCAGATGTTATACTTCTGAAAACTAAGCGTTACAAACAGTTTCGGTCTTTCAAGAAAATGACATTTGTTGAGAAAAACCTAAGCCTGATAACTAAAACCACAGGCAGAGCGTAAACCCGGAGCTTGTCAGGATAATCTGGAATAAACAAAGGGTAACAATAGCTAGTTGGGGGTCAGAGTGAACTGAAATTTACATTTTTTAAAATCAGAAGTAATGTTGTTCGTCGTAGAAATTAATACAAATATTAATACAAACTCATAACATTATTGTACCGTGTTTACAGTGCACTAAGAAAACTCCAGGAAGTAAGGATGGGTGTCGAGTACTCCTCTTTGCGCAGATGTTTGGAGTTGTGTCATCCAGGCAATAGTCACCACGATTTCTTACCACAGGCAGGCAAATAGTATTCTACATCATTTGTGCGGTGTACATCCAATTGCACAGCATCTGGTATTGATCCATTTCTGCTGAACGGAGACTTTGCTTTTTCCAACAGGTCAGTAATAAATGCAGTCAAGGTCTCAAGAAGCTGATCTCCTTCCACAATGTCAAACAGGAGGGGAAAAGTTTGCTGGAGTAGAAGCATGTCTTCAGGACACTGCTCGACTGGTCCGTTGCCAATGAGTCTGCGGTAAAATGTTTCCAAGGAGTCCAATTGGGGGAGAAGTGGGGAAGCTTCCCCTAATGCATTGAAAAGTCCAGTAATAGGTGTTGGAAAAGAGACATCAGATCCACAGAACAAAATGCACCAGGAAAGAAAACTACCTTAGGCAGGTGCACAATGCTGCAACTCCAGGTGTAAAGAGGTCATTACTGTGTAATGTAACCTTGCTAACATCACGGCCTACTTGATCCACCATCTGCCTGACATGTTTTTCAGCAAGGTAAACCCTGTCACGATGCCTAGTGATGTCATAAAATATTAAATAATTAGCCTAAATGCAGATCTCTTCAAACAAAGCAAATAAAAACAGGTGATATTTAGACACATTCAAAGTCCATCTCACTGAATGTAGGAGGAACTGGAGCTGGTCTTAGTCTGGTCTCAACCCCTCAACTGATCCAGAAAAAGAAGACCTCATTCCAAGGTCTTTGCAGGGTCAATGAGACACACAAGCTTCACCACCACGACAAGGTGCCAGCCCAAGGTGAAGGATTAAAAATATTTAAAATGATTATATTAATCAGTAATCAAACTGAATCAAGTCATAGTCTTTGCATCAACAGATTAATATATTATATCATGCTCACATTCTAAAATAGAACTCCTTGAATCATACTGGGAACCAAAATAATAGAATAAATAATGCATAGAATATTTTTTAAAAAATCATAAGCATAAATAGCAACTTATCTTCCTGTTTCTCATGGTACAGTCGATGGACTCGGTGATGAATAAGTAGACTTCAGAGAAGTACAAAGCTCTTGTCTGAAGGATAGTGCTTTAGCATCACAAATGACAGTGTGCAGACTGTTATCTTTGCCACAGATGGCACAACAAAAACCTTCTTCATAGTTTATGTCAAGAAGGTTCAGGAAACTGCAGCAAGCAAAACGCCAGTGGTAGTACAATAACATCCTCTTGAAGTCCAATACATGTGCATCAGCCATGATCTCTTGCCAGACACCGTGGTATGTAAATAGAGTGCACCTAAAAAAAGAGAACATAATTTAAATATAGCTTTTTGAAAGACAATTGAATGACATACATGTACAATTTTATATCATTCTTAACCCTTTCACTCCTATGAGTGACCAAGACAGAATTTCTCCTTACAATATCAATATAATATCAAGCAGACAAGTGATGAGAATAAAGAAAAATATCAATTTGAGGATTATAAGTTGATCCAATACCAAATTCTCCGAACTAACATCACAAGAACTGTATGGCAGACAGTAAGGAGAATTACTGATGAGATCTTGGGAGTTAAAGGGTTAAGACAATGCTTTTCAGTCAATGTCACAGGCAAAACTTCAGAGATACAATAAATCAGAACCCTCAGCTCTTAATTTGTTGATTATTTGTTTTTTTTTCTGGTACCTGATTCTCATTGTAAACCATCATGTGCAGACAAATGAGTCTTTGATTGTTTAGTATAATTGTTGTAAATTATAATTGTTGTTATAAGTGTCTGCTGCGTGTGTTCCAGAAACATTTAAATTTATCGAACAAAGTACATTATTTGGTATTCAGATGTCACAATAATGTTATTTTCAAATTCACTGTTAACTATTGGGTGGTATGTGATTACTTGAAAAAATTTCAACATTATGTAATTTTCATTAGGCCATTCTCAACACAACATCAAAGTAACGTGTAATAAGTGTGTAGGCCTGTAAGACTTCAACTTTTAAACTGCAACAGAGAATTAATTTATGATACAGAATAAGATACTAAAATTACTCTCATACGTGACGTGTTAGTAGCCACAGGCATGAACCATTTCATATTGTATTCAGAACATTTATGCTTGGAGAATATATAAATTTAAGTTATATTATGATTGTAAATAGGGAGCTTAAGCACAGACAAGTAGTTTGATCCATGGACAACAACTGGAAGGTGAATGTTGTTATTTTTGATGCATTGTTAACTTCACCTCCAAATTTAAAAGCTCTAGTTTTAGAATTTAAAACATAAGATTACGAATGAAAAGTTGGTAATAATTATGCAACAAAGAGGAGAACATTTCTGATTTCTGGTTGCCATCCATGGCTGAAAAATATCTGTGCTAGAGCTATACAAAAACCTTGTGTTGGTTTTTAGCAGTCCATCTGTATTCACCTTGAGCTGAGGCAAAATAATAACAATAATTTACTTGGCTCACTGTCAGCTGAGGGTTTTCCTCCTGATGGATGCCTCATGCCAGGCTGTCGACAGCTATCATCCAATCAACTGGTTTGAAATCTGAATGAAATTTTCACATTACCTGGACAACCTTCCCTGTATGGTTTTCATTTTTCAGCCATTTCTATCCCATTCATGACAGTGAACACTACTTGAACACTTAAAGAGATAAGGAATTAATGCAAGGAATTTCTTACCTTCACATTGCCATGTCTGCTTTTTCAAAAAGCACAAAGCTTGTGTAGTCTGACTAATGCACTGCGATGAACACTTTGGGCAGGAGGGAGACAAGTTGGGAGTAAGCAGCACCAAATCAGTAGTTGACATTTTGCCACAAAGAACATCTTCCAGAGAGAATACTTTTTTTTGTGTTGTTGATAGATGGAATAGTATTTTTTTTACAAGATACTGATCTTATTTTCCACTCTTTATGAGTGGTGGCTGCTGCAACTGATTCAGTAGACTCTTGAAAATTTCTCTCAGCAAAAAAATCGACCAGAAAATCATGCATTTTGTGTCCCATTATTTCCTCAGATTCTGCTACTTTTGTTACATGTCCACAGTTGTGACGCTGGTGATCACAGAAAAAGCAAGTGATAAGTGCAACTTGGAGGCCAACTACTCCATGCTGTTTATTTCCACATACAAAAATTGTAAAATTATTCCCATTCAAAGGCAACAAGTCATGATGTTCCTCCTGAGATAGAAAAACAGCAAGAACAACAAGTAAGTAGACTGTGGAAATGCTACAATCATTTCAGATAGTCTTTACTTAAATAACAGATACAAATGGAAAAATATGATGTTTACAGCTACTTACAGCAACTTACAGCAAATAATGCACTTGTCATTTCTCCAAGAATATAATAACCTAAGATTCATAAATAGCTCTACTTTGAAGGGGGCCTAGCTGTTTAAATACACAAATTATGTTTTAACATAATTTAACTTAAACCAAAATCATTAGGATGAGTGAAAAATAACCAGAAAATGTTGACAAAAGCAAGATTAATGTTAGTAATAATTCCAAAATTTTAACGTTCTAAAGCAAAAAAATTCATTCATCTTACTTGGTAAGTGTGATCATGAGAATATGTGTCTCTGGCAAGTGAAGGGGTGACGTTGTTTTCCCTTTCAAAGCTTTCCATCAACTTTTCAGTGGCTTCAATATGGATGCAATTCCCATAAACAGAACTAGCTGCAGTTAAACCTGTGAGAAACATTTAATAAACAATACTTATTATTACATATAATTTATTACTCAATTTAATACTGAAATGCAAAGAAGAAAATTATGGCACAGGGGCCTGGGACACAGTCAAAGACACAGGGGTCAGATTCAAAACAAAATAGCTAAATGAAGACAGCTTATAATCCTGTTACTAGTAGTTGGGGCCTTTCATTTCACAACTCAGGTTGTTAGAATTCAATAGAAAAAACATTTGACTAGCACATGAGGGTGCTTATAGGAGGCTGGAGAAATAATTGGTAACAATAAAAAGAGAAGCTGTAAGAAAGAGGATGGGAACTGCAGTTGCCTCCTAATGTATAAGCAGAAATAAATGGCACTTAATGAATGTGTACATGAGATACAGTTATACAATTTATTGGAGCATTTTTATAAATTATTTATCTCAGTTTATATGCTTGTATTAACTTTCTCCTGTGACTGTTGATGACAGTGACTGAAAATAATCTGTTTGCCTTGTGCCTTCAACAAATTTGCAATGATAGATCCAAATGTTATCCCTGGGTTCTCTTTCAACAATCACATATTTGGCTTCCTGATGGTAGAGGATAAAAAAGATGTAAGGTAAACAATTAATTTTGTTTGGCATAAGCACAAGTAGTACATGATATCTAGTTATGAGTAATCTACATAGCTACTGTGCTGACCAATTAAAAAACAGACATTTTTGATAGACCCCATGGGTACAAACCACAAACAATTTGTGCCATGTCACAGAATGTCTAACCTCCCTGTACATGTACAAGATGCACTAGAAACTACAGTACAGAGAACCCAAAATATAAATAAATATTAAACATTAGATATAAAATATTACACAAAATCAAAACTAATTATGGATACCAAAGGTGTGCAATTAGGATATTTTATATTGTATGTATACAGTGATGTATTAATACTACCAAGGTTTGAGTCTTGTGTAGGAGGAAAGGTCTACTTTACTTTACACTCCTTTGTATGGTAAGAGATCTTTTTTTAATTAAAAAATGCATGTAAAATCCTCGTTGGAAAAGAGGAGGTATTAATTATATAAGCTTCAGCCCAATATAAAAGAAAATAACGAGGAATAAAAAAATTAATACTGTCATTGTGTGTGATTCATCACATCTCATGAACAAAACAGTTTCCCATATATCTGTGAAAAAAAAAACAGTCTGTCGAATAAGAAATATCTTGGTTACTACAGACATCAGTTTTCCTTGACTTTTTTGAAACATGCCAACTACCCATGACTCAAAATAAAATTCCATGACTTCTTTCCTGATCTTTTCCTGACATGTGGCACACCCGAATATAATTTATAGAGTACATGCTAGAAGAACTTAAGCTTAAAATGACTGTAAAAAACAGAATCGAAAATATTTTTAATAGATGCAAAATTAAGACTTACCAGCAAAGCATGTAAAATTGGTCTAGGTTGCAACGCCTGATGAGAAGGATTTTCGAAATCACCTTGACCAGTCGAGGTGGTGACCGTAGTACTCAAATCAGATGTCTTCTTCGATCCCCTACGTCTAATCTTCTTTGGCAAAAACTGCGAAAAATTGCACCGGCCTCTTCTTTTATTCCTCTCGCTTAATTCATTTTCGTGAACGGCGGGAAATATTCGAAAAGGTGGTGTGCTGTTATTCATCCGCCATTTTGTGCAATGCGGCTACCTGAATGTGTATGTATCACGAAGTGTACCAACAACTGGCGGTTATTTTCGTGGTCACGAGAAGGATTTACAAGAGCAGAACCTGTGTTAAGTACACTCGACACCATAACGTAGCGCACGTGCGTACGGCCTTCTTAGCTATTAGGCACAGGCAGGAGCCCTGACACAGGCTAATAGGCACCAAAACATACAGATCTTAGTTGCAAAATCGCTGTTGAATCGTACACGATAAAAAAATGCCTTTCCTTAAGGCAAAAAAAAAGGCTGTACATGCATGTATTATATATTTGTATATTTCTTTATAAGCGTGACGCTTATAAATAAAGCTCTGAAAATTGCATACCCAAATTACCTTTCGGTCTAACTATCTCAATTAAATTATATTATATATATTTGTGTTATTTTTTTTTTTTAGCCTTCATGGACCGTTTGAAGCGTCTTTTTACAAATTTACTCTTGGCCGGAGACGGTTTATGTTTGATATTACATGACCATGAATACGATGGTCACGTAGTCAAAGCTGCAGATGAAAACTTTTTACACCCAAACATTACTATGTATATTCTCCCAACTGTTCTCCATACATGTCCTAAGGTGCTGACAAGGAGAATTTTGTTCATCAATCAAGAGCTGCTTAAGTTGGTGATCATTTCCTTTATTCTTGAGACCTAAATGTGTGATTAACGAGTGATATTGTAAGGAGAAATTAGATGCTGGTCACTCTTAGGGGTCAAAGAGTTAAGGGAATCTTAGTGTCCATGAGTTTGGGGATTCCCCTCATCTCTTTTGGAAACATGCCTTCCAAACATTTATTTCCATCCATTGTCATTTTGTTGTCTGCCAGTCTGACTTGCAAGGCAAAGAGCTTGGCTCAGGTTTTTTTCAGCATCATTTTCTTCTCTTTTGGTGAAGAAGCCAATTCAATCCCACAGAAACCAAAAATAAAAATGTGTGAGGATGTAGTTGACATAAAATAAGTATTTTAGGAGGAAAGAAGATGGCAAGTAGAACGAAACACCAAAACTCTTTGTTCCTTTTAACTTTCACTTGATTTCTCTCCCTGCTTCAGTTCCTGCCTTGCAGTTGTGTTCTCAGGAGTTGTGTCATTAGCTCTTGCAGGCTGCCAATATGGACAGAAAAATAGAAGTCAAATGAACCTTCATTGCCCTGTAACTGCCTGCATTACCACCAATAGGCCACGAGAATATGATCACGATAACAGGGTGCTTGTATTAATGAATAGAATCACCTAAGGTTGTGATATGGATACTGATTGTAAGTTTTACTCTGTTAATTGACACCATGAAAAGTTCAGTATAATTAAAACTTGTCTTGCATATGTAGCCACAGTCAAATGGACAGAACTCAGATAATTCCTTATGACTGAAAGACGTCACAAGACAGAGATATGGTAAGGGAATTTCATATTGTACCCATTCCACTGGTCACGTGGGTTAAAATTAGAATCTATAGAAAACAACTCCTATGGAATCTAACAACTTGCTATTGGTTCTAATAAAAAGGTAGGCTGATTGACATTGTTCAAAACTAACAAAAAGACCAGGTCAACCCCTTAAGTCCCACTAGTGACCAAGACAGAATTTCTCCTTACACTATCAGTACAATATCAAGCAGACGAGTAAAGAGAATAAAGAAAATATCAATGAGGGGATTATTAGTTGATCCAATTCCAAATTCTCCAAACTAACATTATATGAATTGTATGGCAGACAGTAAGGAGAAATTACTAATGAGATCTTGGGAGTTAAAGGGTTAAATAAAACTGACTGTGACATTTATTGGGTGGTGTGACATGGTTTTACTCAATCATGAAATTATCTTGATTGGCCAGGACTTCCCAGTGTTTCTAAGTAACCAGAATAAAGAGAAAAGTGCTTTGTCCTGATGGTAAAGCACCTTGCCCTGGTTGTTGAAAGGCTGAATGGTGCTATCCACTGAATAAATCTCTATCTGATGGATAACGCTATATGCTTTGTAACACCTATCCACTGGATAGGGATTTTTACTTTTTTCTTAGAGGTCACGGAAACGAATCCTGCAATCTGATTGGTTCTTAGTACAGTCCATATTTTCCTATCTCTGCCCACGGGCAACGGTAACACTTTCATAAGTCACCGAGTACATCCCTACACCAGTGACTAAATACAGGAATGGCTCCAACCTGTAATTGGATGATAAAAATAGTAAAAGTTAATAAGTTATATCTTAACTCCTTGCTCGTGAGTATTGTTTACCCGTGTGTCTTGAAGCGGAACAATGAAATATCAATGCAAGTGAAAACACCGATGTATCAAACAAGAAATGGTTACTAACATAACGAAGGGATTGCAGAGCCTTTCTTGTCCAATGAGGTAGTTTAGCGTTACTCTGCCGATGACAGAGTTATTCACTGACTAGCTCCGCTGACTAAGCTCATTTAGCCAGTTCAGGCGGACGATCAGAGACTGGAGCCATTCCTGTATTTCACCGCTGACAGGAATAGCTCCTACTCATGCGTTCATTATTTAATTTAATTAATTAAATTAATTTAATTTTTTTTGTTGTTTTTTGCCATTCGTTTTGGCTAAATAATTTATACACTGAGATAAAAACTGAAAGAGTGTTTTACTACGTTCTTCCTATATTGAACTCTACAATGCTTTTAAATGAAGCCCTCTTTTATTAATGCAGGGCCATGTACTTCTTCAGTAATATTTATTATATGATCAGTACGACCCCCCCCCCTCCCCCCCAGGCGCTTTTACCAAAACAATTATAAGTAAATCCCCGTGTAAGGGTCTGCGAGATGCGAAAGTAGAGAGAAAAAGACAGTGTGACACTCATATAATAAAATTCTTAATGATTGAGTAAGGTCGTGAACAGATGTTTGAATGTGGGTAGCTTCTTGAAGACAACCCTAGTCAGTTCCCACGCCCAGAAAATAGCTCCATGGATCCTGACTACCGGGAAGCATCTAGTGATACTGCATACCACAACAGCGCCAGCGAGATAAACCTCTACGAGACTGTCTTAATAAAGGAATTGTGGGCGAGAATGGGGAAAGTACCATAGAGAGGACAAAACAATCCCTTAAGGCGAAATTGCTCAGAATGATCGATGATGTTGAAGTCTGTGAAGATGAAGATGCGCTGCAACAGTTAGAGAAAAGTGTCAATTCCTCTTAAAGTTTGTTCACTTCGATGGTGCTGCACAAGCATACGACAAGTACACTGTCGGCTGCTATACCTAAAGGGAATGCACCTGAATAAAAAAATTGAGGTCCAGAAACATTTCTTTTCCACCAAACGAAAGACACAGAAGAGAAATATCAGGTTGGAAAAACCAAACAAGAAGAGAAGATGGAGATGATTGAGAATTGTTATAATAATGAGCAATAAGAGCAGAACAACAGCAAAGTACCTGTAGACTTCACATCTGGCAAAACGATGGCGCACAAGGCATGTTGTGTTTCATTGTTTGAAATTTTTTCTCCCTTGCCTATCACACCTGTCTCACCTCACCATCCGTTTATTTCTCTTGTAGGATTGCAAGAAATGCTTCACTGGTTTACTAAGGAAAAACATTACTCCATTGAAGACCATTAAACTGTCTGTTTCTGACGTATTGGATACAAACGAGGCATCTTTGATACCTGGAGAGGCAGTAGAAGCTAACTTAGCAGATTTGAAGAGGTTTATTACAGATGGTGCCTGGAAAGCAGTTTGCAAATTAGGTTAGGATGGCTCGTGTACTTTACAGGAAACGTGGTCTATGTTACAGTACTAATTCTTTCTTAAATTTACGTGGTATAAATACCTTGTCTAGAACAGTAGTAATATAATAGCAAACGAGATGTATACGTTCCAAAACAGGGTCATGTGATGAACAGTCTTCATTAGTTTCGAACATCAAAATCAAGTTTACTTAAAACTCATTTACTTACTGAACTTTCAAAACACTTAGTTAATATACTGGTTCTGGTTCATTTCTAAGTCTTTCGTTAGTAAAAACTGTCCGAAGACTGATTATTATAGCACCAGTCGGAGCCAGTCAGCTTGTTATCTCCATCAAATTTCCACTAAACTGACTAAATGAGTTTAGTTCAATCGTCGCAGTTAGTCAGCGATGACTTAAATCATCGCCGGAAATCGTTGGAAGACCCCGCTACAAGAATGAGTTAAAGAAAAGGTTTTGCCTTCTTTTACATTTACGTTGTTCACCATTTGTTGTATTATTGATACATTTTCGTATTCTGTTTTCACGTGCAATCGTTATTTCTAGTTAGGTTAATGTTACATTTCGCAACGCATTTTTCTTAGATTAGTTTCTGTTGTATTTCCTTTAGTTCGAACCATACGCACGCAACCTCAACCGCTACTCTCATCAAGCAAATTTCGTCTTAGCGCTAGCATCTAAAAACAATAAAGATCACTGTGTGCGTTCGAATTGTCCACTCGATCTCTTGGGTAACCTTCTGAGGTTACATTCGTTCGAGTTTGGCAAATCTCCAGTTATTTTTACATCTACCACGTTTAGTTCGAGTTTTTAAGCGAAGTTATTGAAGAAATAGCCATTTGTCGCATTAAACCTTCGACCCCGCTTTCACGTGTGGAAGTTCACGACGTGACAAACGGCAAGATATGTAACAAACGATCACGTCCGCAGGAAATCGATTTAAAACATGTCGAAGGAAAGCGAAGTCAAAGAAATAAATCCACGCATCGGAGAACGAAATCACACCCTCGATTGGGACGGAATCGACTCAGAAAGTTTTGATAGATTAAAGAGAACTAGAGGCGCAAAGAAAGGTATCGTTACGAAAGCACAAAATGAAATACGCGAACTTATGTTAGATTTCGGAAACATTGAACTAGTCAAAAGAAAGGTGCAGATTCTGCAAGAATTCGAGGGCGCCTACGCCGCTTATCACGAGCAGCTAAAAAAAAGATCGCGATATCGATGAGTCGAACGCCTACTTTGTCGAAGTAAAGCGTGGAATAGAGGATATCACAGGAGATGTAACTGGGTAGCGTCATCGGAACACGTCAAGGACTTCGGTAGATTATTATCGCCAGCACGTGTCATTACGGCGGGGCCGGATACCGAGATAAATCCCGACGATTCAGTGAGTAATAATGTACCTTCTCGAGTGTCCCACCTCACGGGGCTCCAAAATCTCTCGTTGTTCCAAGTCAAGTTCGGCGGCGAGCTCTCGCGCCTCTTCAGCATCAGCTGCAAAAAAAAAAAAAAAAGGCCAATCTACGAAGCTATGAGGCAATTCAGAAGGAGGAGCTAGCACAACTTATGAAGAAAGCTCTCTAGCTACAAACAGAAATCGCAAAGGCACAAGCAGAAGAACTCGTTTACGGCGCAGCTGAAGCGTCTTATGTCGAAAATTCTGCCTGCTTTTCAGACAAGAAGATAAATCTGTGGCACTCCCACCTCCTCAAGAATTCACCGCAAAACAGCAGCCAATATCTCCGAATGAGCTACCTTTAGTTCAACGAGAATCTCGACCTCAGCATGACCAAGAGGAACCAAAAGCAGAACGCGTAGAGAGAGAAGCTCTGAATCCTAACGCGAAGAGCTGGGTCCCTTTCCACGATGGAGAAATTGATCGTAAGCCACGCTTGAAATCGTTCGACACCCTCAAGGCTGGAGAGATGAACGATGTCAAACCGGTTCTCCGCGACCTTACCGCGACTGACGGATTGGCCTGTACCATACTGGAAGCGCAATAACAGCAAAATCAGCGAATTCAGGAGCTCATTCGGCAACAACAGCGGAGTACTCCTGCCCTCACTTTGCCGGAGTCAGAACAGCCAACCTTAAGTGGCAACCCTATTGAGTATTGGTCCTTTGGACGAGTATTCGAGAACCTAATCGAGAGTAGAACGACCAGTAACAGTGCTCGCCAGTATTACTTACTACAATACACCTCAGGCGAAGTGCGTGAGTTGATGAGGAGTTGTCTAGCTATGAAACCCGAAGAAGGATATCAAGAGGCGCGCACTCTGCTGAAGGACAGATATGGCCAAAGTTATAGCATAGCTACCGCGTACGTTGAAAGGCTAACCAATGGACCGCCCATCAAAGCCGAAGATAGCGTCGCATTACGTCGATTCTGAGTTCTTCTAACTGGATGTACGAACATCCTCGGTGACACTGGATATCTCAGCAAAGCGGAGAACCCGGAAACACTAAGAATGATCGTCAAGAGACTGCCCTAAGGCCTAAACTTGAAATGGCGTGATATTGCAGGAGGCATCACCGAAATTCAGAAGAGAGAGATCACGATCAAGGACTTGAACGACTTCTTTAAGGCCAAAGCGAGAGTAGCCACTCACGCTATATTCGGTAACGTATCGAGTCATCCTCCGACGCCACCATCAGCTATGAAAGAGAAGAAGAAGCCTTCCCTTTTGCGACCTGCGTCACCGTACGGAACGCAAGCCCGCACCGATCAAGTGAACAAAGAAGCCAGCAAAAAATGCATCCAAATCATATGTCTGCTTTGTAATTCTAACCATTGGCTCTTACAATGCGTCAATTTCAAGGCTAAATCCCTCGATGAGAGGCCCAAGTTCGTACACTCCAAAGACCTCTGCATTAATTGTCTTGTTCATGACCATGCTGTTAGTTCCTGCCCCAAGGCAAGTTTTTGTCGAGTAACCGGATGTAAGGAAATTCATTCGAGCTATCTTCATCCCAGCGATGCACCTGCTGCGACTGGACGCGATTCTGCACCTGCAGTGACTAACCTCTCAAGTCAAGCAACCAAGCGTTGAATGGCTATGTTAAGGGAAAAGGTCATGGTCGCTGTAGCGAAAATGACAGCAACCATGCGTCTGCAGCCGGATTAGCACTACTGCCTGTTAAGGTTAAAGCACCAGGTCTCGACAAGATCGTGGAAACCTACGCATTTTTAGATCATGGTTCCAATACTTCTTTCTGTTCAGAGGGACTCATTGAAGAGCTTGGCATTAATGGACGAGCAACAACATTGTCACTGACAACCATGGAAAGCAAAAACACCAGCATCAAATGCTCAGCAGTTGACCTTGAAGTGATGGATCTCAAAGAAGAAACTCTTGTCGAATTGCCACACGTGTTCACCAGACCACATCTACCCGTCACAGTAGAGAATGCCGCTAACCAAGGGGATGTAGATCGTTGGCCGCACCTTGCTGGAATAAAAATCTCCAAAATCGACGCGAACGTGGGTTTGCTTATTGGGAATGACGCCCCAAAAATTCTTCAGCCGAAAGAAGTGAGGGAATCCTCTCACAATGGTCCCTATGCGACCTGGACGGTATTCGGTTGCAATTGGGTGATAAATGGTCCTCTCGGTAGAGTTCAAGACTCGGGTTCGTACATAGCTAATTTTATAAGAGCAGACGCCGAACTAGACGACCAGTTCCGAAAGTACTGCAACATGGAGTTCAACGACTCTCACGTGCAAAATCTCTCGTTGTTCCAAGTCAAGTTCGGCGGCAGATCGTGGCCATCTTCAGTCAGTGCAAAAAAAGACCGTATCTACGAAGCCTATGAGGCAAATGGAAGGAGGAGCTAACACCAAGAACTTATGAAGATCTATTCGGCGGAGCTCTCTCCTAGCTGTGCCAATTTTGCCTACAAACAGAAATCGCAAAGGCACAAGCAGAAGAACTCGTTTACGGCGCAGCTGAAGCGTCTTATGTCGAAAATTCTGCCTGCTTTTCAGACAAGAAGATAAATCTGTAACACTCCCACCTCCTCAAGAATTCACCGCAAAACAGCAGCCAATATCTCCGAATGAATTTAGTTCAACGAGAATCTCGACCTCAGCATGACCAAGAGGAACCAAAAGCAGAAGCAGAACGCGTAGAGAGAGAAGCTCTGAATCCTAACGCGAAGAGCTGGGTCCCTTTCCACGATGGAGAAATTGATCGTAAGCCACGCTTGAAATCGTTCGAAAATGACAGCAACCATGCGTCTGCAGCCGGATTAGCACTACTGCCTGTTAAGGTTAAAGCACCAGGTCTCGACAAGATCGTGGAAACCTACGCATTTTTAGATCATGGTTCCAATACTTCTTCTTCAGAGGGACTCATTGAAGAGCTTGGCATTAATGGACGAGCAACAACATTGTCACTGACAACCATGGAAAGCAAAAACACCAGCATCAAATTCTCAGCAGTTGACTTTGAAGTGATGGATCTCAAAGAAGAAACTCTTGTCGAATTGCCACAGGTGTTCACCAGACCACATCTACCCGTCACAGTAGAGAATGCCGCTAACCAAGGGGATGTAGATCGTTGGCCGCACCTTGCTGGAATAAAAATCTCCAAAATCGACGCGAACGTGGGTTTGCTTATTGGGAATGACGCCCCAAAAATTCTTCACCCGAAAGAAGTGAGGGAATCCTCCCACAATGGTCCTGTTGAAGGATTCAGATTTGCGCGTAAAGTACGCAGCCTGCATAGAAGACCTCCCTCAGAAGGTATATGCAAAGAAGGCCCTACCTATCGGTATTCCAGGAGGAACTTGGTACCTTCCCCATCGTGCTGTTTTCCACCCAGCCAAGCCAGGAAAGATTCGCATCGTTTTCGACTGTTCCATTTAACATCGTGGAAGTTCTTTGAATGACAAGTTCTTACAGGGGCCGGACCTCACGAACTCCCTGGTTGGAGTGCTGACTCGTTTCCGACAGGAGGCTGTAGGTCTCGTGGCAGATGTCGAGGCCATGTTCCGTCAAGTCAGTGTGGTTCCTGAAGACCGTAAGGCCTTACGATTCCTTTGGTGGCCAAATGGAGAGCTAGGAGCTCAAGCAGAAGAACTGATGATGATGATAGTGCATCTATTCGGCGGAGTCTCATCTCCTAGCTGTGCCAATTTTGCATTCAAGAAAGCGGTAGAAGATAATCCATCGAGCTTTCGTCCTGAGACCGTACGAACAGTAAAGTGTAATTTCTACGTAGAGGACTGTCTGAAATCTGTGGCAACGGATGAAAGCGCTATCTGTTTTGCGAGGGAACTTAGGGAGCTTCTGTCGAAAGGTGGCTTCCGTCTCACGAAATGGCTGTCTCACTCTCATAAAGTGGTTGAGTCAATTCTAGGGGCTGAAAGAGCAACAGCAGTGAAGAACCTAGATTTCGACCATCCCATCATTGAAAGAGCTCTTGGAGTACGATGGCAAGTGAGTTCGGATACTTTCAGCTTCAACATCAACATTAAGGATAGGCCAGCTACTAGGAGAGGACTGTTGTCCGTTATCAGCTCAGTCTACGACCAGCTTGGATTCGTTGCTCCTTTCATCCTCACGGCTAAGGTGATCCTTCAAGATCTCTGCAAAAAGAAGCTCGATTGGAATGACCGTATACCGGACGAAGATTTGAGACATTCGCAAACATGGTTATGCGAGCTACCAAAACTGGAGCACTTTCATATAGAACGATGCTTCAAACCTCGCGACTTTGGTGAAGTGACTTCTTGCCAGCTCCACTTCTTCTCTGACGCATCACAACTGGCTTACGGTGCTGTCGCCTATCTACGATTGGTTCACGACCGTGATTATAAACGGGCGTCCCTCGACTAAAGTATCAGACAACCCCAGAGATCCAGAAGCTTTGACCCCAAACCACCTCCTACTCCTGCGTTCAGGACCTACCCTCTCCCCGGGTGTCTTCGCTAAAGAGGACCGCTATTCCCGACAAAGATGGAGACACGTGCAATACCTGACAGACGTGTTCTGGCGACGGTGGATTCAATAATACCTCCCCTCGCTCCAGCAAAGGCAGAAATGGAATCATACTACCCGCAATTTTGCAGTTGGCGACGTCGTGCTCTTGTTGGATGAAAAAACACCGAGAAGTTCCTAGCCGCTTGGGCGTATCTTGGAAGCTTTTCCAAATCAGAGTGATGGCCTGGTGAGGAGTGTCAAGCTAAAAACCAAGTCCTCGGTTCTTGTGCATCCCATCGACAAAATTTTGTTGTTGGAAGCTGCCTGAGCAGTGATCTTGTGAACAGCATCTTAAGAGAACTTTCATTTTATTGACATTTAGTTTTTATTCCGAAGCGTTTCAACCCTGTTTTATGTTTTTAGTTAAAGGCAATCAGTTGTATCCGCCTTTAAAGGGGCTGGAATGTCAGTTTCGAAACGCTTAGTTAATATACACTTTATTATAGTTTTGTTCTGGTTCATTTTAAGTCTTTCGTTAGTTAATGATTATTACAGCAAGTTTGTTATCTCCGATCAAATTTCCACTTAAGTGCACGTGTAAAGATTCTATTTCAATCGTCGCTTGTAGTCATCGCTGCTAAATCATCACTGCTAAATCGTCGCTGCTAGATAATCGCTACAAGCTATTTGCTACCGTTCGCTGCAAGCTATTTACTATCGTTAGGAGCTAGACCAAAGTAAGTTTTAATTTCTTTTACATTTACGTTGTTCACCTTTTGTATGTATTATTGGTATAATTTTGGTATTCTGTTTTCCGTGCAATCGCTTCACTTTTAGTTAGGTTAATGTTACATTTCGCAACGCATTTTTCTTAGATTAGTTTCTGTTGTATTTTCTCTTAGTTCGAACCACACGCACGCAACCTCAACCGCTACTCTCATCAAGCAAATTTCGTCTTAGTGCTATCGTCTAAAAACAATAAAGATCACTGTGTGCGTTCGAATTGTCCGCTCGTTCTCTTAGGTAACCTTTCGAGGTTACACTTCGTACATTATTTAATCGTCGTTGAGAGTGAATAATACTTTCCGTCTGCTTTTAAAGAAAACAATGTCGCAACAGTCGTTGCCAAACTATAATAAAGGGGTAAGTTTCTGAAGAAACTGTGGTGCTGCGTCGGTGGGAGAGTATAGCAGGTAATTTAGTGTTAACAACTGAGTTTAAAACGTAAATTAGCCACCGTAAAAGGTAAAAAAGGCGACGTTTCGAGCGTTAGCCCTTCGTCAATCGCTCTGACGAAGAGCTGACGTTCGAAAGGTCAGCTTTTTTACCCTTTACGGTGGCTAATTTACGTTTTCAACTCAGTTGTTAAGACTCAATTACCGTTGCTAAACTAGTTCCTTTGTTTTTTCAAAAGTGTACCTGCGTTTTTCTTTCTTACGCGCTCTCTAATTGGCAGGTGTCACAGTGTGACAGATACTTGTAAAAATAATGTTTCGAAGTTGTTGAAAGCCTTTTAAATCACCTTTATCAGTGCGCAAATGAAAATGTGTCGATGAAGCCTCTCTCTTTAATTTGCATCACCTCTATTTTAACTACCATTTACTTGCTAAAAATTATTCAGTTTATGGTAGATCTTGCTGTAATCACAGCCCTAATTCATTCGGGTTCTTTAGGAAAGAATTTCGTTAAGTTTAAGGAAAAAAATTTAAAATGTTATTCACCAGCCTAGGTCGGTCCGTATTAGGAAAAACTGTGCCCTCTGTCTTGAGTACTGCCCTCAGCCTACAGCCTCTGGCGGTACTCAAGACCTCGGGCACAGCTTTTCCTAATACAGACCTCCCGGCTGGCGAATAACATCAAAATCCATTCGATAGCGTTATTCACCCTTTGAACGAGTGGGCCCTTATCTGTGACATTTCTCCATGTACCTTACCCTACCTTGAGAGGGGGTCGTCTTTCACCACCTTCACCAGGCCTGCCCCAAAAAGGCCTTCCAAATGGGAATCCAGGAGGACTCTGCCAGTACAACTGGTGTTTACAGTTTGAATATCCAGCTCCAAGGCCTACACCAACTCCTAATGTGACAGGCCATGCAACCCCTTCATATTAAAGTAAAAAATATTAGAGGAAGCTACAGTTTTGTGGAAACATCCAAACAAATATACTCATTGTGGTAAAAGCAGTGATAAGCTGGTGTAAACAAAAAACAACGCTTTCAATGGATTTCAAGCCCTTCATCCTAATAAGGCATTTTTCTCTTGTTTACAGGGAACATTCCAGTGTTCAAGAGGTAACTTTACCTTCCAATCTCTTCCATGGTACGCATAAATAAGAATTAGTTTCATTCAAGCTATAATGAATAACACTTTAGATAAACTTTTCACTTTTTATGGAGATGCTAAGGGTGTAAAAGAGCCATGGGTATTTAAATCCCTTTAACCCTATAACTCTCATGAGTGACCAAGACAGAATTTCTCCTTACAATATCAATACAATATCAAGCAGAAGAGTGATGGGAATGAAGAATAATATCAACTGGAGGATCATTACTTGATCCAATACCAAATTCTCCAAAATCATATTACAATAATTGTATGGCAGACAGTAAGGAGAATTGCTAATGAGATCTTGGGAGTGAAGAGTTAATAGTTATGATTTCATGTCAGGAAACACTTAATCTTAAAAACTGTTGGTGTATTGCTACTTTATATTGGTCACCTTTGTATCTCTTGTTCATTAGATAGATTCATGTAAGTCAAATCAAAAAATGGAATCTGGTAACCAAAGGAATTTCATTGAAATATCCAAAACACCGCACCCTAAATAGGGGACCCTCTCCTCCCCCCTAGAAGACCTCCTAGCTAGACCCCTATTCCCGCGAAGTGTATGTTGGACTATAAAAATATCTGCGTTACGAAGTTGAGCAGATATTTGTTTCTGTAAGTTCTGAATGGAATTTTATGTTTCTTAGTGAGTGTTTCAGTGTGTCTCTTAAGTGTTAAGTTATTTGAATAGCGCTATAAAAGTGTTGAGTAATTGAGTGTTTGTCCTTCGGGTCTGTGAACGCATCTGCATAAGCTGTTAATTTTAATTCGTTTGTGTTATAGTGTGGAGAGTTTGGTCATTTGAGCGCCTTCTGCTCAAGCTCAAAGTCCGCCGATTCAGCGAGAAGCACTTCTCACCGGGGATGACTGGCTTTTGGTCAGTGTCGGATGATGATCATCATTTGCAGGTTGGTTATGACTTTCCTTGTTTTTTTTTCTTGGAAATTTTGACGAATTCAATATTTGGAACAACAGCTGAGGTGTGAAAGGCCGTTTCAATTCTGCCATGGGTTTTTGGAAAACCACCTTAAATGCGCCTGCGTTTGTTTTAGATGGTGTTCGGCGTGGGTTCAGACTTCCTTTTGCGGAGTATCCGCCCCCGTGTTTGTTGCCCAATAACAAATCGGCCTTAGCTCATGGCTGCATCGTTGAACACAGCGTTCCTATATTCTGTGTTAACCCCTTAGCAGTAGCAGAGGGTAAAAAAGCTGCGCTTAGCAATTTATCCAAGACACGTTAACAATTATGTGGTCAAATTTAAGTTCAAGTATTAAGATCTTCCCTCTTTGTCTCAAGTCCCAGAGGAAGGCCACTGGTGTTTTACATGGGGCTTTAAATCGGGGTAGCACCACGTGGATATCTGTTCAGAGCATCAAGCGTTTCTCGGCTTTGCGTGGTCAATCGATGGCGTGCTCAAATATTTCACCTTTACAGTTTTGCCTTTCGGCCTTAGTAGCGCTAGTTATTGTTTCACCAAATTATAGCGCCTCTTATTGAAGCGCTGGTTTTCCATGGAGCATACTAGTTTTGTGTATCTTGACGACGGTTTTGGAAGTCAGTAGTGTTATCAATGACCCATTGCGTATGCCCAACGTTATAAATAAGTATTTCTCATCTGTAATAACTTAGCAACCAAACTGCCGCAAGCTGAGCATCCTTATATGGACTATCTCTGTAACTCCAAATCACCTGACACCTCATTCTTCTTCAAACCTGTTACTCCACATGAAGTGAAGCTTGAAATTTTATCCATACCGAACAATAAGTCATCTGGCCTTTACTCTTGTTCTGCACAACTTCTTAAACGCTCTTGTGACATAATATCCTCTGTCCTTGCAAATTTTCTCAACAAGTCTGTCAGTCTGGGGGCATACCCTTCTAAACTGAAAATGTCCAAAGTTATACCCGTCTACAAAGCTGATGATAAAAAAGATGCCTGCAATTATAGACCGATTTCATTACTGTCAAACTTCAACAGGATTTTTGAGAAAATTATGTACAACAGAATGAAAGTTTTCATACAAAAACACCAACTATTATCTTCATCCCAATACGGTTTTCGCCAAGCAAATTCAACTGAACATGCTATACTTGACATGGTGGAATCCATCCGTACCAATTTGGATAAAAGACTTTTTTCTTGTAGGGTATTCATCGACCTTAAGAAAGCTTTTGACACGGTGGACCATAAAATATTACTTGCTAAACTTAATTATTACGGCTTTCGAGGAATTGACAATCAGTGGCTTTCCTCATATTTAACAAATAGTACTCAAACAACTGAGATTAACTCTTAAATTTCGAATAAAGAAGTAGTTAGCTGTGGTGTACCCCAAGGGTCTGTTTTAGGGCCGCTCCTCTTTTTTCTATATGTCAATGATATTCAATATTGCTCCAGGAAACTTAAATTTTTTCTTTTTGCAGATGATACTAATGTCCTTTACTCTCACGAAAATTTCAAGACATTGGAATTAATTGTAAATATTGAATTGAACAACCTATTCGATTGGCTAACCGCAAATAAACTTGCACTTAACAGAAAGCAATCAAACTTTGTTATTTTCCGCCTATACCAAAAAAGACTTAATTACCTGCTACAAGTTAATATTTTTGACAATGAAGAAAATAAGAATATTACCCTTGAACATAAGAATTGCATTAAATATCTTGGGTTATTGATTGATGAAAATCTAAGTTCGAAAAACCACATCTATACCCTTACAACAAAAATAAGTAAAACTGTCGGTCTAATTGCGAAGTAAAGGCATATTGTTCCTAATCGAACTCTTCTTAATATTTATAAATCCCTCATTGCACCTTATATATGGTATGGACCAACTTCTTGGGGAACTGCATCTAAGACCTTGTTAAATAACATTCCTGTCCTTCAAAAACGTGTACTCCGTCTTATTCACTTTGCTCCAGTAAGGGAGCATGCATACCACTTTTCTTGAAAGCAAAGCTTCTACCGTTAGAATTCCGATATTATGAAAAAATTTCTAATTTAAAGTACGACATCAATATTAGTTCTGCACCGATTAATATTTCGATTTCGTTTCCTAAAATTACCAGCGTTCACTCTTACGGCACACGTTCATCAACGTCTGAGCATTTTTATACTAAAAAATCTGCACTTAATGTTCAAAGTAAGGCCTTTTCACGTGTTGGCGTTAAAATCTGGAATGGAATACCAACTAGTCTCAAAAACTCATCCAAGAACTCTTTCAAAAAATCCATTAGAACAAGATTAATCGAAATTCTAGAAACTGAAAACTCCTATGTCGACATAGATACTCTAATTAATAAGATGAAAGATTAATTACTAACTGTAATTATGTTTAGTCTGTAGTTTTCCTCTTTACATATTAAACTAATACCTAGATGTTTGTAAGCACGAAGATTAATGTCTACATGTTGTAATTGTGTGTGAATATTTATTGTATAAAATTGTGTAAAATTCAGTTATTTGTCAACTGTCTGGCTTGCCGCGATTAGCTCTTCGCTATTTGCAAGCCAGCCTAGTAATAACCATCTGATGTGAACAAATAAAACAAATAAAACTTAAACCTAAAACTTAAGTCAACCAGATATGCGTTCTGCTGTAGCGGCCGCAGTTATTCAAACGAAAAACTAGATTCCTATCTAATCTATTCTTGTCTAATCTATTGCTCATCTATCTATCTATCTATCTATCTATCTATCTATCTATCTATCTATCTATCTATCTATCTATCTAATCTATTACTCCGCTGGTACAATCGAAGAGGTCATCAAAAGGGACACTGTTTCTGTGCACGTATAAGCCACCAAATGTAACTAAACATCTGTGAATGAATACAACTTGACCAACTTGATAAGAGAGCCCACTAAAGTGACTGCCACATCTAGTACTCTTATCGACGTGATCCTGACAAATAAACCGCGGTCCTTTTTAACGTCTGGCACTTTCGATTTGAGCTTAATTGACCATCGCCTGGACTATGCTGTCAGCAGGTCAAACTGTCCGAGGACTTTCCCTATAACCGCCGAAAGACGCACTATTAAGAATTACGATCCCGAACGATTTTGCGATGACTTGCATTCGACTCCATTTGACGTGACATATATATTTGAGGACATTGACGACATCCACTGGGCTTGGAGTTACTTGTTATGTAGCGTTCTTGAAAACCATGCACCAATTAAACGTAAAACAGCAAATCGTGAGCACGTGTCATTCATGACACGTGAGTTACTTGAGGCAATTAGGAAACGCAACAAATTAAAGCGCCTTTACAACGAGTCTAAGCGCCGGCTAGATTGGGACAGATACAAGACCCAGCGAAACCTCACATCTTCATTGAGACGTAAGGCTGTATCCAACTATTTTCGTACCACCGCCTCAAACGCCAGAGGCAACCCCAAGAAATTTTGGCAAACGGTCAAGCCTTTCATGCACTCAAAAAAAACATCAGCCAGGATTCCATTCATCTTAAGGAGGGTGACAGTCTCGTTGTCAATAAACTGGAAGTAGCACAAAGTTTTAATGCACACTTTTCATCCCTTTTGAAGGATAACGATAGTGATGGGCATTACAATGATAACTCCCGTTTTACCTGTCATCCAAGTATCTCGGCTATACAGACACACTGCTCTGCGTTTGAGGCTTTTCAGTTCCGCTTTGTAAGTCCATGCACCTGAAGTCGAAAACATACTTAAGTCGCTTGATCCAGGAAAGGCAACTGGTTATGATAAGATACCGCCAAGAACATTGCGGGATGGTGCTGATGCTCTTGCCTGTCCGCTATCTGTTCTTATCAACAAGATCATTGATCTTCGACTCTGTGCCGGCTGCTCGGAAGCTTGCCGAAATCTGCCCTATCTTCCAAAAGGACAATCCTCATAATAAATCTAACTATCGGCCAGTGTCGATTCTAGTCACTCTGGATAAAGTTTTTGAGAAGTGTCTTACACGCCAACTCTCTGATTATTTTAAATCGATATTGTCACCGTTCCTGTTTGCGAATAGATGGGGTTACAGCTGTGAGGCGGTACCTCTACGTTTGATTGAGGACTGGAGGAGTGCTCTTCACAGTAAATGTTTTGTTGGCGCAGTTTCTATGGATCGGAGTAAAGCTTTTGATATGATCTCGCACGACCACCTCCTTGCCAAGCTGGCTGCCTATGGTGCTTCTCCACTTAGGCTGGCCTTCGTACACAGTTACCTTAGAGACAGGTCCCAGCGCGTGAGGATAGAAGATGTTACTTCAGATGTTGTTGTTTTCTCTAAGGGTGTACCCTAGCGATCGGTTTGAGGGCCCCTCCTTTTTAAGAGAGGATGTCAGCATCCATCGAACAAATTTGAAATATTGTGGCAAGTCGCCCAAAATTCGTTTTCTCTCCTACTTTCATATTTTGTAGCCCTGTATCTCCCAATAATTGTGGTGTAGTTTTTTTTGTGAAAATATATTTTAGTTTTCGAGAAATGATATTTTTCGTTCTACCGCTCAAATATGCAAATTTTCACCCTGAATATTGCCCGAGTTGTGTGACCTCGTGTAACGAATTTACCCGACCTCCGGTATTTCTGTCGGCATAATCCTTTGTTTTATTATCTAAACTTAATCCGTTGTCATTATTGAAGCTGGCAAAGAAATATTTATTTTTTGGTGAATATTTTTGTCCGACATACTTTTTCTATGTCGAAAAGTAGTATCAAAACAAAGACAGTTTTAACAATGACCGATATGACAGACTCTACTGAGCTTCTAGCTTTTAAAAGAAAAAAGGATGGTTATAAAGTTACTGTAAAAATTTCCTTGTGTATTTGTGTTGTTCTATCGTGAGACGAACTCAAAGTCCGGCAAAATTTACCTGCTAGCGACTATGAAATATACATGGTGTGTCTACTTGTCGCCACCGTTTACTGGCATAAATCACTACAATTTGTAAAGAAATCTAACATAACACTCCTACCTTGTTTATTTATGATTTTATTAGCTGTTTCGATGATCAAGTTATGCTCTACCGCATTTTAGCCAGATTAAATTTGCAGTTTGTAAATCTTCTCCACATTATTATATTAGTTGCATGACAAGCGTGACACATATAAATTCAAAGATGAATCAACCTCAGAATTACCAAGAGATGGGTTTTTTTCCCCTCCTTTCATATCTATAAAAACCTTCCAAGAATTACTGTATTCAGAAAATGTCCAGATCCATCAATGATTCCTTTGCCGGCGGAAGTCAAAGAATGTTTACAAAAGTCAGTTCGATTGATTGTACCACAGATAGTACGCAGGACGTCTGGAAAATTCATATAACCTGGCTAGTTACCACCTTGTGCAAAATTACGCGTCCCGTCAGACTTAGGCCTCGATTGAGAATTGGTCAATAGGCTACCAAATATCCAGACAGAGGCGGAGTTTGCTATACTAATGTATGCACTCTGTTGGCTTCCTGCCGTCTGGCGGGACGCGTAATTAAGCGCACAGTGCTAAAGGGCCCTTCTGCAGTAGCTACAAGACGCTGACGAAACTTTTTCTCTTCACCGAAAATCACATCATAATTTGTCTTTGCTAAATTTCAAGTGTCCTGCACGTATCAGCACCCCCCGGGAACCCCTATACATAAGAGGGCGAGGATGCGCGCCGGGAATTTCGAAAAGTACCCTTATAAAATTATAATAGGTACCTGAGTCTTATCCGGGGAGTGGCAACAACTGATATCTACCCCTAAAAGGTACCAGTTTAAACACAAAAAATTGAAAAATCCCAAAAATAAGAACTCCTCTATCAATGTGCTCCAGAGGCTCAAGTCAGATCATTAAAATTGTCCTAGTAATGCTTATTTCAGGTATTTTATTGAGCGAAAAACACCCTAAAAGGTACTAGCTAGGTCTCTGGTAGTGCACTAAAGTTTGAGACACCATAAAAAGGTTCCAGATCACTGATTTTGACCCCTGCAAGGTACGACAAGCATCCTCACTCATTTCCGATCACCTCCTCCCCCCCCCCCCTCTCCCCCACCAACCCTGTCAGCACCTAAAACCAAAAGATGTGATTTGCCAACTACGAGCTGTCAGTCTCACCTGGTAAAATTCACGTGAACTGGTTATTTCCTTATAAAAACTTTTAGGCACTGATCTGTCAGATTTTTATGCTGACAAAATCTGTCCTGCTTCGAGGCAGGACGGCTGTATTTTTTTTGTTTTGTTCGTCTTGTCATAATTTGGTAGGTATGAAAATAACTGCACGTCTGCATTTGTTAAACAGACTATTCAAGTGCATCCAGAACTCGATGCATGCACTTCTAGTGCTTTTGGAACATAGCCAAAGATCTTGCGATGTCTACTGTTCAAGCCTTTTTTTCTTTCCAAAGAGGCATAAGAATTATTTTCATGTCAAATTTGTAGTAAACTGCTTGCGTGTCATCCTTTGTTTTCAAGGTGTCCGACCAGGTATGACTGAAAATGGGGCTCGCTTTGATAGGAATCCTTATGTTGTTGCTTCTTACTTCCTGAAATTATCACTTGAAATTCGCTCGGTAATATTAAAAAAAAAAAGCGAGTAATACATATATATATATATATATATATATATATATATATCCAAATTCTTTCATCACATAAAAAGTTGTAGGGGAGGGGGGTGGTGTCGGGGTATAACCCCCCGAAAAAATCGAGCACATGCTTAATGGAAGAAAACACATAGTGCAATTGGCAAAAATCTAATGGTCCGTCCTAAGGTACCTTTTACATTATTCCAAACTGGGTTTCGTTCCGGAAAGAAATGAATTTCATACCGCGTTTACATGCAAAATAATTTAGCTTGTAAAAACAAGTATGTACGTCCTTTTTCTATGCTTCCCTCGCTCCTAAAGAGGATTCATACACATATGAGAGTCGTACCGCGTTCACTTTATACAGTACAAAAGGTCCTCCAGAATAAGTGTTTCGTTCTGGAACGAAAACCTTAATAAACTCATTCAGAAATCACTCGTTTCGAATAATTTTACTATGGTATCATGTGACAAACGGGATGAACTCGTTCTTGAACAAAACTCATTCCGATATCATGTAAAAGGCCCCTAAGAGTTTTTATTCCCAGAGCCTCACGCTTTGCTCTCCAGCCAGAAACACTATAAATTTCAGCAACAACCCGCTTTGAACTGCTGCGCTGCTACTGAAACAACGATTAGTGACCACAAAAGTAACGCATTTTAATATTGTCAATTCAACATAAACAAAATCCTCATACAGGGTAAATATTAATTTGTGTTGGTATCAATTATTGCGTGACCAGCTTCTGATATAAATGGGAGAGGGGAAAACACAACGTAAAACCTGGGCTCCCGGCAAAAAGTAATACCCAAGCGTAATATAATAACCGAAACAGCTTATTGGTCTTATGAAATCATAAATAAACAAGGTAAGAGTGTTATGTTAGATTTTTTTACAAATTGTAGTGATTTATGCCTCGATATGCAAATAAACGGTGGCGACATGTAGGCACACTATGGATATTTCATATTCGCTAGCAAGTAATTTTGCCGGACTTTGAGTTCGTCTCACGATAGAACAACACAAATACACAAGGAAATTTTTACAGTACCTTTATAATCATCCTTTTGTCTTTTAAAAGCTAGAAGCTCAATAGAGTCTGTCATATCGGTCATTGTTAAAACTGTCTTTGTTTTGATACTACTTTTCGACATAAAAAAAGTATGTCGGACAAAAATATTCACCAAAAAATGGTATTTCTGACGAATGAGTCTGCGAATAAGGCAGAAATAAATATTTTGTCGGCACGAGATACGACAAGACCTAGGCCTTAGGATCGAGCATCATGGGTAATGATGCAGTGGTATATAAGGGAAAGTATAGCACGTGGTGTCCATCTAGGCCTCAGAACCAACCGTTCACCTCTGGCTGATGACAAATTCAGTGGTCTTTTTCTGATCTTTGCACGTGAAAGGAGTCGCCATTGTAACGGGTCAAATAATTTCCCTCTCTCCCTGTGTGGGTTCCGTCGCCCGTATTATGACTAGATTTCTTTTCTTGGTCGTGAATTCGGCGCGCTCTTGGGAAAGCGAAGTTTTTCTCTCAGACGACTCTCTTTCAGAAATCAGTTTCTGAAAGAACAACTTGGTATTCTTCAATAGCAAGGTTTGTTGGTCGGTCCAGTCCCTTCCGGTCAGGGTCACCTTTTCAGATGCCCCCAATTCGGCTTGTGCTGCTTTCGTAAAAGGCTCAAATTTAGTATTTTATCGGAACTGGTCTCCTGTAGTGCGTGCCTAAAGTTCTACATGGAGAGAACTCAAAGCTGTTTGCCTCGCCTTGGAAGCTTTCGCGAGTCATTTTTCTGGTGTTAAGGTTATTTGTTATTCCGGTAACCAGAACGTCGAATCTATTCTTCAAAACGGTAGTAGGGAAGCTGACATGCACCAATTGGCCCTCCTAGTTATCCAAATATGTCTTGAGTTTCACATATCACTGGAGGTTAAGTGGATCCCTTGGGAGCTTAACGCTAAGGCTGATGCAATAA